TTCTCCTGAGAAAAGATGGCATTCCTGTTCCATTAATTCAATCTTACTGAATGGAATTATGTATAAAATAACACACATTCTTCTTAAATATGACGTTGGCTCCGTGGTGACTGACACATAATCTCTGTCACTAGGTCCCTGTCAGAGCATCTACAGCTGTCACTCCTTTCTTCCTAGAATGTCCAGCATGTTTGTCCTTTGTTCTCTGAGGTCAGGGCTGCACACACTCACGTGGCAGGGCTCCTGCAGACTCGTGTCTGTGCTGGGAGGACGGAGCCGGGGAGGGAATCCCTGCCCAGTGTGTGGACAACTGTTGTTTCAAGCAGTTTGACACAGTGACAGGAGACAAAGATGTTCAGTATGTAACCCTCTAGGAATGCACGGGACAGCTTCTACCCACAGTCTGGAGAGAATCATTCCCTGTCTCCTCAGTGCTGTGGGGACCTCAGAGGAAGGAGAGCTCTGGAAATCAGGGAGAAAGCACATACGAGGAAACTCCCAGCATCCTGCACAGAAGCGACCCTGTATCCATGGGGACCCATCACTACTCTGGACCCTGATCTCTAAGTTTGTTAGAGACACCACCCCAGTCCTGACCCAGGAACAGAGAAGGGAGCCGTGAACAGACTCATTCTGAAGACTCTTAGCAGAGCATCTAAGAGTCCTGACTTAAGGGGAAGTGATATATAGGAACACCTGGTCAGGCCCTAATGCAAGGAGCAGTGGACAAAGCATTGAAGGGGATGTGCAGAGATGGGTCTGATGGGCCCTGGCCACCTTGTCACACAATGATGTGTCTGGGTCTGGACACCAGGGGGCACTCTAGTCCCATTTCTGAGGAGTCAGTGGTGATCAGAGCTGGGACCTGACACCTGGCCCTGCCTGTACCCTCTGCTCAGCGCTAGCAGCTGGGACCTCCCCACCCCCTGGCCCCTCACAGCCCCTCCCCTGCCAGGTCCTTGACAGCCACAGGCAGAGGGACATGACCCAGGGGCAGGGAGGGGTCAGAGAACTGCTGTCTCATTTGCATGGCCGGGCCCTCCCTCTCTCAGAGGATGAAGAGGGGGAGGGAAAGGTTAGGGGAGGCTCTGCACAGCTGTGGGACCACAGAAGGCAGGATCGGTGATGACCTCCACCATGGCCTGGTCCCCTCTCCTCCTCAGCCTCCTCGCTCACTGCACAGGTGAGTGGATGCAGGGACAGGGGAAGGGGCCCTGGGAGGACACATGGGCCTGGCTTCCTCCTCTTGTCTCAAAACCCCAGCATCACCCTCTCTGTGCTTTTCCCCCTTGCAGGGTCCTGGGCCCAGTCTGTGCTGACTCAGCCGTCCTCCGTTTCTCGGGCCCTGGGCCAGACGGTCACCATCTCCTGCACTGGAAGCAGCTCCAACATCGGGGGTGGTTATTATGTGAACTGGCTCCAACAGCTCCCAGGAAAGGCCCCCAGAACCGTCATCTATGGTAACAGCAACCGACCCTCAGGGGTCCCGGAACGATTCTCTGGCTCCAAGTCTGGCAGCTCAGGCACCCTGACCATCACTGGGCTCCAGGCTGAGGACGAGGCTGAGTATTATTGTGCATCGTGGGATGATAGTCTCAGTGCTCACACAGTGCTCCCCGCCTGTGGGGAAGTGAGACAAAAACCTGCTGTCCCTCAGCAATGGGTCTCCCTGTGCAGCTCCCCCTCCTTCGCCAAGTCAGCTCTTTCCTTTGTTTCGTCTAAACTGTAGTCTGAACTAATCTCAAGGAACACGGGCTACAAAATATTCCAAATTCTCTTAAATTCGGCCCCTCCAGCCTCTCCTAAGCAGGAAGACATTGTTTGGTTTTCTCCTATTGAGGAGAAACTCCTGGGTGCCAGGGGCAGGCTGCCCAGGTAACAGAGTCAGCTGATGAGGGAAACAAAGGCAGGAGAAATGTTGCTTAAAGTAAATCCCCACGGAGAGGAAGAAGTAGAATCCCTGCTTTTCTCGGGTATGGAGAAAAGATAAATAGTTTCATTTGTTCACAAAGGTATATTTCATCTATTCATTAATAATCAGTTCGCTTAAGAGAAGCTTCCTTAAATCTGAAGGAAGAAAACATTTTTAAAAGTCAACAATGTTTCAAACAAGAGTTCATAAAAAGTACAATTATCTTCCTCTGTCCATTCAGTTTCATTTTCTTTATTTCTGATCTGTTTGAATCCAGTTTTTTTCTCTTAGTTCTGGTAATTTTTTCTTTAGTTTTGCTATCTCAAAGGTATCAGATACCTACATTTTTTGAAGTTCTGCCCATGAATATCCTTGAAGATGTAACACATTTGCAGTAACATCGGAGTAAGATGGGAACTGTACGTGACAAGACATGACAGTGGCCATGGCTACGGATGGGTTAGAGGTCATTACGATGCAATTGACAAGGAAATGTGGTTATTCCCGTGACACACAATGCAAACATAAATCAAAGGTAAATACAGAAAGTTACAGAGTTGTAAGCAAAACGTAGGATATTTTAAAAATATTAAAACATATTTTTAATGCATCAAAGTTCAGATAAACATAGAAATAATTTGGCAAAATACATAACTCATGTGTTCTAGGCACATAATTTTAAAAATGAATAAAAACTTATTTATCATTTTTTTTGTACGAGCAGACCAATAATTCAAGAAAAATGTTTACTTTTTAACCAAGTTAAAACAGAATTTCAATTTTGCATCCACATAGTTTGGTATTTAAATTTATCTTAATTTTAACCAGTAGTGACAACACATAAAATTCCTTTTCAAAAAAGGTACTACAACATTCTTTTATACATTGAAATTTAGACTTAAGTTTTCTTTCTTCAAATAACCAGCCTTATCTTAGGACAAAAACATTTTTCTTTTCCCTCAACAAAAAATGTGTTCCCATGCCACATACCTTTTTTCACCAAAACACATGTCTTACTTTCCTGGCACACAGATCTTTTTTCTTTATCATTTCTAGTAGTCTAAATTACATTTATTAGCATTCTTAAGTCTTAGAAACCTTAGTTTCTAGGGAAAGCTATATAGTAAACGATTGTGAACTGTTTGTTATGCCAGTATTCTTTAGATTAGCAAATTTAGGAATACATTTCACAATTTCTAGAAACGTAGTACCATAGTTCAATAACGTATACACCAGGTTTACTAATGGACCCATGGTTATCTTTATAGTTTTCCTGTAATAAGACAAAAGAAGATAAACCTATGGGTAGTACCTAATGTTTTATTTTTTTATTGTATTTAGTTTAGCAAAAAAATGAAGAACTAAGTAAATTGTTAAGAAGCCAACACGTGGAGCACCTTGATGGCTCGGTAGGTGAAGCACACAACTCTGGATTTCAGGGTTGTGGGTTTGTGCTCCATGTTGGGCGTGGAGCCTACTTGAAAAAAAAAAAAAAGACAATAGTCTCCCTAGCAATGGACAGATTAAATGCAATCCCTATCGAACCCCTGAATACTTGTTTGCACATTCCAAAAAGAGGATCTTAAATTTTCTGTGCAATTACAGGGACTCAGAACATCCGAACAATCCTGAAGATGAACAAATTTGTAAGAACTCACAATTCCAGATTTTAAAACTCTCTAAAACTGACTTACAAAGCTACAATAATCAAGAGTGTGGTACTGGCCTAAAGATAGACGTAAGGATATATTAAACATATTTGAGAGTCCAGAAATAAATCACTTATCTGGGACGCCTGGGTGGCTCAGTCATTAAGCGTCTGCCTCCGTCTCGGGTCATGGTCCCAGGGTCCTGGGATCGAGCCCCGCATCGGGCTCTCTGCTCCGCCGGAAGCCCGCTTCTCCCTCTCCCACTCCCCCTGCTTGTGTTCCCTCTCCCGCTGTGTCTCTCTCTGTGAAATAAATAAAATCTTAAAAAAAAAAATAAGTCACTCATCTGTGGTCCATAGATTTTCAAAAGGGTGCTAAGAGAATTTAATGTGGATAAAATGGTCTCTCCAACAATGGTGCTGGGACAACTAGATGTCCACTGGCAAAGAATGTGATTAGACCCTTACCGCATAGCATATATAAAAATGAATGTGAAATGGAACAAAGATCTATATTTAAGGGCTAAACATATTAAAGTCTTAGAAGCAAACAGAGAAGGAAATATCTGTGAGTTTTGACGTGGCAATGGATTCTTTACATATGACATCAAAAGCACCAGCAGGGGCCCCTGGGTGGCTCAGTAGGTTAAGCGTCTGCCTTTGGCTGAGGTCATGATCCCAGGGTCCTGGTTCGAGCCCCACACTGGGCTCCTTGCTCAGTGGGGAGCCTGGTCCTACCTCTCCCTCTGTCTGCTGCTCTACCCGCCCATGCTCTCTCTCTCATTGTCTGTGTATGTGTGTGTGTGTGTGTGTGTGTTAAATAAGTAAATAAAATCTTGAAAAAAAAGCACCAGCTAAAATAGGGGGAAAATGTTCAATTGGACTTCTCCAAAACTATTTTTGTACACTAAAAGATACATCGAGAATGAGAAAGTGGAACCCAAATGTACTGGAATAGCCCCTCCTTCTAGGGGGCACTGAAGGGAATAAGAGATACCTGGGGCAGCCCAGCTCCACGTGGGGTCTCAGCAGGACTGTGTCCACCATGGTGTAGACTTCTCCTTCTTGTGTTCCCCTCTTACTGCACAGGTGAGAACTATCCTCCATGATCTGATGCATCCCCCAAGACGATGTCAACCCCTTTGGATCCAGATCCCCCAAGAAGCTTCAC